CAGCCGGTCTGGGGTCTAAGTGCTGCTGGTGGTCCGAATGTAGTTAACTTCTTCCACCTGATGGGGGGTTTTTGTCTCTGCAAAACAACTCAAGGATATGGTTCAGGATATTATCTATCGTCCTTGAGGAGGAACTAAAGGTCCTTGACTTTGTTTTATGGATAAACTATTATTATTTTGTCTTGTTTCACTGTTTTCCTTTGTTTCTGCATTTTTCAATTTCTCTGATTAAATCTGCTCTTTGGAACTTCGGGAAGACCTAGGAAGTTAAAGGTTTTTTACAAACAAGAGGTGGGGAACATGGGGGGGAGTTTGTCACCAGGAAGGCCCCATAGTGTCCTGCTCGGTTTCATGGGTACTGTGGTTGGTGCACTACACAGAATCTAACTTAAATTATCCCCTCATAACAACCTGTTTAGAGGCTGGGAAAAGTGAAGAAACTTTGCAACTAGAAATCAAACCCAGGTTTTTCTGGCTCCGTTTTTTTTTTTTTCTACCCTGGCTAGGACCAGTGGGAAAAAAGAGTGTTGAGAAGGGAGATTGTAAGCAGATAGGGTAGGGGGTCCTGGAGAAAGGGAGCCAGGAATGGTTTTCTTGATACAAGAGAACCCATTTTGGCCTAAGCCCTTTTGTGATCTAAGCCTGGCCACGATGCTTGCCCTTGAGTAGGTCTCAGTAATTAATGATTTTAAGGGAACAAAGGAATGCAGGAACAGAGAAAAGGCAGTCAAACAATAGGGCAGTGATAAAGCAGAGTCCTAGTTTCTCCTCAAGGGGTATACATAATAATATATCCTTTTTAAAATTTTATTTCTTTTGGCTGAATGGCATGTGGGATCTTAGTTCCCCCACCAGGGAAGTCCCCCCAATATATCTTTGAGTTCTGCGGGAACAAGGTCCCTACCCAGGTGGAGGACAGAATTATGATGTTGACCCTCCCCACTTCAGTCAGCTAAGACTTGGACTCTGTCGACCTTAGCCCCAATTCTGTGCTAATGGTCCTCTGCTCAAGCCCCTTCATTAATATGTATGTACCCTTAGCTTAAACCTTCCCCAGTTTTGCTGTTTGGGGAGACACTGCTTTGGGAAGGATCCCCAGTGTTCTCCTTCCTTGCTGCAAGTAATAGTACACCCTTCTCCTGATCTTTGACTTGGTTGTGTCTATTGGCTCAACATCCACCAAGAGGCGAACCCAGCTTTCAGGGAACAAGATCTCTGTGCAGGAGACTATTGTCAACTCTTCCCATTGGTCAGAGCCCTCCAGGAAGCTCAGAAGATTCTGGTTCATGGTAGAATCCAGTGCTTCTGGCCCTGTAGGCTGGAGTGAACTGGGGGCAGGGCATAATGGGGGAAAGAAATCCTCCTTCAGATACTTCCTTCCTTCCACCTGCTAGAGGTCTCAGGACATCACGCTCTCAGGCTCATAAAAGGTCTAAAGTAAGAATTAGGGGCCCAAGGAGACCTTCAAAAGGTCTTATCTGTGGGACTTCCCTGGTTGTCCAGTGGCTGAGACTCTGCGCTCCCAATGCAAGGGGCCTGGGTTCTATCCCCGGTCAGGGAACTAGATCCCACATGCATGCTGCAACTAAGGAGCTGGTGAGTCACAACTAAGGAGCCCGCCTGCTGCAACTAAGATCCCACACAACCAAATAAATAAATAAATATTTAAAAAAAGAAGGTAGAGAGAGGATTCGCTCTTAGCAGTTGTCACTCTGTTGGGTTAACACCTGGGAGGAAGGACTAGCTGATGCCCAAACCGTCAGACTCCACTGTCAGCTACTAAAGAGCCCAGTAAATATCGACAGACCATCCATTAAAAATCTCTCCACCACCAGCCTAACTCCTCTGGATTTAGAAGCTGGCAGAAAGAGGTCAGAGGAAAATGAATTTACAAGTGTTTACAAAAGAGGGAGAAACAGATCAGGTATTTCTTCAGAAAAGGGACTTTTTAAAGGACAGCCAGAAAAAGCGGGGGGGGGGGGGGG